TGAATTTTTTTTTTTTTACATGATTACAACTAGCCTGAGCATTTAAGACTTAGACAACTTAGATTTTATTTGTCATTTTGTATACACAAGTGTAAACAAAGCAGAACTTCTGTTTTAACAACTGTTTGCAGCCCATTGGGTCAAAACTAATTTACCTGAAAAACAATCATTCAGGAGGATGTAATTCAGGTCTTTTTTGTAAATACATTCATTGACCTCTTCATCAGGTGTAGCTGTTCAACCAACCATTATATATGGTAGCAGCTTCAAGCATTATTGGCATCTGGATACGGTGAGGATAATCGCTGAAGTTCAAACATGACATCAGAAGAGAGAAAATTATGTTTAAGGGAATATCTTTTTAAAACTAATTGAAGAAAAATCTGTTTTTATCTACCAAGCCAAATGAAGCCCCATCACTGCATCAAATCACTACCAAACAAAACCTATGCTTTAATCTACTATTTAAAAAAATAGAGCATTATCAAAAATGTATTCATCTATGATTTGTTCTTTGTTGTTTTACTAAATGAAATCTATCACTTAGATCAATTATACACAGGCTGGTGTTCTGAAGCCTGTGTTTCTATTAAATTAAATGTTTTATGCTCATTGCTAATGAAAAAACAAAACATAAAACATTTAGGATTAGAAAATTACATCAAACCAATTAAAAAAATTGTTTTTAGTATAAAAGTAAGTGATCCTAATAACCTACGTAAAGCTTTGTGGATGCACTAAAAAGGGAGTCATATCAGAATGGATATTAAAATTTGCTGAACACAACTCTGTTATATTTAAAACTTAGCTGCAGTCAGAAACATGAGCTCAGTGTGCCAAAGGTTCTACATAGAGACCACACTATTCAGGCAGCAACACCTGTAAAAATGTTTACAGAGTAGTGAAATGTTTACGCTGTACTTATCCTCACAATTCAGTCTCAGATGTTTTAATAATTTAGGAAATCTGTCAGAGTAATTTATATTTATTGGCTCCAGTAAGATATTACTGTGTTAAGATATAAGTAATTAGAATTTGTGAAAAAAGTTAAGCATAATTTTCTTTTAAAATTTAGAGGAAATTTGGGGGATTATAGATGCATTCAAATCTTTAAAATGTTTAAAGTAAAGCAAAAAAGTTAAATATGAGAAGAAATGCTTTTCCAAGACGAGCATCGACTTTCATTTAAATCGAAGCATCTCTCATAGATGACGGCATATTGAAGTTGGAGGAACCTGCTATGAGCCACTGTTCTACTCACTATGTAATACGTGGTGAAGTAATTCTGAACTAGAGCAATTAACTGTTGAATTGAAAAGTTTGACTTGCTTGGTATTTGCATTTAAAAGAGCTCTGATGATCAAAGACGTTTGCATGCTTCAGATGACGCACTGATAAAAAGCCTCTTCCACTCATACAAATTCCTCTGTGACCTATGATCAATCTGCACTCCGGCTGATCATCTCCATGGTGTTCTCTTTCATGCACGCCCATTAAAATCAACTTCTCCTCAAAAAAATTCACGGTTCAAGTAACGTCCCACTCCCACAGACACAGAGTCAGATTTAACCACTGTGCACAGTAAACAAACCTAATAAGCCCTGCCATCTATTGTTCTTGACTAAGCAGGTGTGAATAAGCATGAATGAAGTTTATGTGCTTATGAAGACCTAAGAGGCCATTTGGGTCACTGGCGGCGATTTCAACACAATCAGTCCACAGGATTTGAGAGGCTGACACACAGGAGCATGGAGGGCATGGCCTTTTATCTGATGGGGTAGCAGCCTCAATGAGGGGGAACCTGAATGTTTCACACACGATCAGCCGAAGACGTTGATCAGCAGGTGGAAGGGAGAGGAAAAGTCTGCTAGCATACAAAGCAGTGGTGGTTGCATACTGATGAAGGCTTGATGCCAAAAAGAGAGATTATAAATGTTCTATCAAACGTACAGTGCCTTCAAAGGTTACAATCATGCTTAAACCTTTTAAAACTTTCAAGAGAGTCTGGCTGCAGACCTGCACTGCCAGGACCAAGACCTGCACTGCCAGGACAGGAGGTTTATTCCAGAAGTTGTATTCGAAGCCTCCGGGAATAGTGCACAGCACATGCTTGCTGTCGGAGCAGTTTAAATAATACAGTAAGCCAAAATCCACATAGGACAGGCAACCTCCATTGTCGTTTAGAAAATGTCTTATAGACCAAATGCCCTTCTCCATTGAGCGATCCAAATACAAAGACTTATGTGGCACATATCCATTATTCCAGATAGGAGTTTGGTGGGAGTAAAATTGTGCATGTACCGGTACATAAATTTCCAGCATAAAAACACTTATTTGTGAAAGGAAGCTAGCTTCACAGGGAGTTTATCGACAATAACGTTTACTTTAGAAAGGCTTCGAATCGACTTCACTTTTACTTAATATCTTTGAATAAACTTCCGGTTCTAACAGGAGACCTCACAGTGCGGCCCTGCAGCCAGGGTCCTGACAGTGCAGGTCTGCAGCAGTCCCCTCTCAAAATCTTTGTTTAATTTACAACCACAGAAAGTGATTTTTTAATATGTGGAAAATTACATTTCACTGATCAGACATTTTAATGTTATTGGAATAACAGAAAAAAAATGGCACATTTAATCAGACTGAAACATTCACGATGAGTCCACAGTTAAGGATAACAACTACTGCCACTCTATAAATCTGTTCTTTGTGGAAGAGCAGGAAGGAGGCCATGAACTATCCTATTTTAGGCTAATCACTGCCCTTGAGGACATAGCGAACATGGAGGAAGAGGACGCTCTGGTCAAATGAACCAAAAAAAGGAACATTTGTGTCTGCTTGTAACATGATGCACATTTTTTTCAGTAAATGGGCAGATTGGATAATGCTAAAAAGAGGGAATAATATGCCATTGGAGGAGGCCTCACGGAAGGCCCAGGACACGCTGGAGGGTCTATGGCTCTGAGCTGGCCTGGTGTCGCCTCGGGGGCCCCCCAGAGAAGCTGGAGTAAGTGTGTGCGGATAGTGAAGTCTGGGTATCTCTGCTTAGAATGCTGTCTCCGCGATCCAACCCTGAATAACGCAGAAGAGGATGAATGGACGGATGGATATCGAGAATATATATTTCACATTGGAGCAGATATCTAGTAAAAATTGGGAATGATTTAGATCAAAGCATATCAACAATAAATCCACCTGAGAAACTGTGGCAATTCTTGAAATTTGTGGTTTATAGATGAACACCGTCCTGTCTGACTCACCCTCTGCTATTTTCATATAAAGAAAGAATCCATTCTCTAGATGTGTGAACCTGGTAGTTTATTGCGTGAGAGAGAAAGAATAAACTTTCTTTCATTTATTTATTGCCATAATAGTGATCCCTGTATAGATTTACCTTAAATAATCACATTTATATATAACTAATAATAATAATAATGATCATACTAATAATAGTATTAAAAAAAACAAATTAATGTTAGAACTGTAAATATACGGTCATATGTTTATATAAACCATTTTTTTCTGTTTTTATTACTCTTTTCAAAGCTGCACTTCAAAAAAATGAAATTGTCTAGAGCCGTTTTAAACAAAATTTCTTTTAGTATACACTCGTCTTTACAAAATGAATCTGTCCAAGTCTATGATTGAACATTCTGAATTTGTTGTATAAGCAGAATCACTTTATTATTTAAGATAAACATTTAATCTTTTTTTTTTTTAGGTATCTACATTCCAAAATAGTAATTGCTATTAACATACATCTTCATTATCCATCTAATTTCTTCTCCATAAATTTATGCCATCTTTGTGTGAACGATTTCAAAATACAATAATAGTCCTTTTTTTTTCCCCCTTTCCATATGAAATAAATAATAAAAAACTGTTTAGGGAAGCATTCTGCAAATACAAAAGAGTGAGTTAAAGAAGAATGGAAACTAGGGAGGAAATGAGAAATAAGGATACAAAGAAAGAAGGAAGGATGGAAAAAAGAGGTAGGTGAGATAAATGGAAGAAAAACAATTATGAAAAAAAGGGGCAGAAGGAAAAAGCCAAGGATTGAGAAATTGAAGACTAAACCAAAGAGATGAAGATAGAAAATAAAGAATGAATGAAACAAAGGACAGAGGGAATGCTTGAATCCCGCCATCTTCCCTTTAAATGAAAGGTCAACTAAGCAGCAGCTGGATTTTTTTCTTTTTAGAGCAAATCTGCTCAAACACTGAGACACGTAGACCCATCAAAGACACAGCTTTAGCAAAAACCTCCTGCATTTGGCCACGAACTGGACTAAAAATACAGTACAAGAAAAATGATCCAAAGCACAAAAACGTCTTCAAAAAGACCTTCAGACAGCCTGACAAAATACTGATCAAGAAAAACTTCTGGCTGGTTGAGAGCAAAATCTATAAAAATGAGGGATGACTCTGAACTTTTCCACAGTACTGTACACATAAACATGTTTTAGTCATCAATCTGTTTTGTGCCCCCCCCTCCCCCCCTCGTGTGGAAAGCCAGTGAAAGCCAAGAGGACTGATATGCCACTTTCAAATCAGCTGCTGGAGGGGGAGCACCATCCTTCATAAATATTTTTGTGAAGAAAGAAATGTTAACTGAAACAACATAAGAGTAAATAAGAAGTCACCTGTGTGAACCGGACTGCAGAGAACACATAAGTATGAATGTATTCTAGAAGGAGCCATAAGAACATTTATAAACACTGAGATATCGCATTCATAGACCCTTATAGGTCAATGTGGGCAACCCCATCAGGAGTTTCCCTGAAGGCGAGCAGCTACATTGGAAATCACCTTAATTAGTCTGACACAGCCCTGCTGGAGGCTGAGAAAAACATCAGGATCAGTGGAAGTTTATGCTGATAGATGATGATGGGAAGCCTGAGCAGATTTATTTAATCTAATGTGGCAGAGACATTTAAAAGACTGACAGTAATCATCATTCATACACAATAGCCACATCCAGTGTTAGTGTATTTATTTGTCCTCTATCCTCCAACAACAATCATTACATATAGATTTGTTTAACTATAGTGCACTTAAAGTTTAACATAACTTGATGATCATTAAATGGTTTAGATTTCATACAGTACAGTCACACGATATGTGGTAACATCACCAACAACGGCCATATAAAGACCGCAAAAAAAGAAGGGATGAAATAAATACAGCAATGTTCAAAACAGTGATATTTACAATAAGTCTTCCTGAAATAGCTGCAAACAAGATACACTGAGGCTACATCAAAACATTTAACTTCTTTCGTTTACCTTACAGGTAATGTGGAAAATGGAGAACCCTTCAGCTGGCCGGCTCTTTAGTTCAGGGAATGTTCTGTCCATGATTACTTTCATCACATTTTACTGATTTTGAAGAGTTGAAGATGGATGAATCCCAAATACTGGGAAAACTTGGGATCCATTTATCAACCTAAAGCCATTTTAAACAGAAAGGATCTTCTGTTTTCTAATTTTACCCAAACTATCAAAGCTTTTTAAGTGGTCATAAGGTCTAACTTGTGTAACTTGGAATTTAATTTGCTCATACAGGAAAAAAAACAAAAACATCTCTCACAGCATTTGAATCATATCAGTACATTCTTTCAACGTAGATGCCCCTAGATAATCAAAAAAGTCGCTTAAAATAAGAAACAGCATCAGGGTTTAGGTAACCATGGAAGTAAGAAGGAATTTAAAGTTGTATTCCTAAAAATTAACCTTTACCAGAATAATCAGTAAATGTTAGAAATAAACATTTGAAAAATCACACATTAAATATGGAAATTAACTGTGTTGTGTGTTTTGAGACTGACTATAATCAGTTATATAATCAAATTAGGTTTCCGACATTTTCCGGGTAAAGCTTTCTTTAAATGTCAGTTTTTGCAAATGCCACAAAGTTGGGCAAAACCTCGTTTTGAAAGTAAGCAATGACTTACAGATGGATACTTCCAACACTAAGCTTTGTACAAACCCTAATTTATGTCAAGATGGTAACTTTGAAAGTTGGTAGTGACAGTTGCATGATCAATTTAACCTATTATACTGAAGTGTAACAAAATATAATCTGAGGTCAGGAACATTTAGGCTATTATGTCTGCTCTGGTTTGAAAAAACTACAACAAAACATTTCAGCTGCTCAAAAAGGCAATTATCCAATATTTTTCCTGTTAAGCAAATGCACCACACCGCATATAACAATCTTCAGTGTTGATACGGTGACCAAAGGAAGCAGACTCAGAGTAAACCATTTTTCTATTGCAGTCTACAAACGAAGCCAGAGGAGGCATTCAGATGTAGAGGCCTACTGTATATAGATAAACTATCCTCTATATGATGAAGAGCAATTAATTAAGGCATCAAGAGATTAAAAACTAAATCCTAAATCTTTACCATATTACAAAAAGAAAATGCTCAGAAATCTTGGAAGTGAAGGTAAAGAGGATATTCTCTAAGAATTCATGCAAACTGTTTTGCTGTTTTAGTAATGCTAGCTGGACCAACTATTAACATTCCAAAGAGTTTAAAATGTGAGGATTATGACCATTTTGTTTTGGGATATGTGATTCTTCTTCAGCTGGGACTGTTGCTCACATCAAAGAGAAATCTAAGTCAGTCGTACTTTTTATTGGGGAGTGGAAAAAAATCTGCATCTCTACTCTGGAATACTCTGCACCTCTAAATGGAATTACTATTAATTATTAGAACGCATCAGATCAAACAAACCAAGCGTTACTGCTCAGTAGAGAGGCCAAAAATGGATGAAGTCCATGAAGAAAAGGAAAAACATTCCACTCCTCAGAGAGAATAGACCAAAGTACGCAGCTGGTTCAAATACCTCACCCACACTACAGTAATCTATATCATTTTAAGAATCATCATCTTTATATTAGATTGATCTAATTTGTGGACAAAACAAAAGAAAGAAAAAAAACATTGAATCCAGTAGGGCCAGAGAAACAACGCCCTGAAGCCAAACATTATACAGCGAGCGTAGAGTTCAGGCTGGAAGAGTGAGTCATTAAGGTGAGGGATAATAACGCACTCTCGCTCCAGGAGTGAACACATTCAGACAGAGCGGTGCAACGTTATCGTATCAATGTCTTCTTCCATCATGAAGAAGCTGTAATGTCAGATATTTAGATCTTGGATCTTTTGGAAGTTTATATGAGAAAAAAACTACAAGAGTGTTATTAAAGTGAGAGCGGATATCTTACAATCGATCTGAACGTAGAAAAACTGCACCAGCTTGTTATGGAGCGCATTCAACAGGAGCGTGTTTATGGACACATAAGAACAACACCAAAGTTTATTATGAACAAGCTGACAAATGCGTTATAGATACACATCTTCGGTTGTGACGCCACAGCAAAGTAAATCCTTCTTAGCTGAAACTTTAAAGGGAAACATTCAGCTCATATTTATGTCTAGGATACACTGACGAGTCTATCTCTTGGGACGGTCGATGTCATCGATGGCAGCTAGAAGTTTCTGACGAGCCTTTTTGTTTATATGTGAACCCAGACACACATTCACCAGGTTGGCCAGCTGCTTCATGGAGTACTCCTGCATAGGCATGCACACAAAGAGACACTAAGAAAGGGAAGGATTAAGGGAAAAAAATTATTTGTTGACATTATTAAATTGATTTACCCTGTGATTTTTGATAAACTGCTCCATATCGTTCTCAGTCAGGTAATAGGCCTTGATGTAGGTTTCCACAAACTCCTTGTCGGGGATGGGTCGCAGGTCCGTTAGTTTCTCCAGCTTCATCAGGAACTGCTGAAAGTCCAGCTGCATCAAGGCTCGGCCCTCGTTGCTGCACTTCTTCACGTTAGCGTAGCTGCAGTGGAGGGTGACGACAGAACAAATGATACCATTTGATTTACGTAAGTCATCACAGCGATGGGTCACAGGAGTCTGACTGAGAGGCTGTTGTTTCTGCTTTCTATTTTTTATGCCGAGTACGGTCATCTTCAACCAGATGAGTGGACATGCTGATTTTCTGCAGATTGTAGTGGTACTACAAAAAGCTGTTCAATGTCAAAATAAAATACAGTGCAACCCTCTACAGAGTGCTGCTGTGGCTGCATCTCCTGAGAGCTCTGAATCCACCGTGCTGTGCAAATTTAAAGTTTATCATTTTTACAATTAGACTGGCAAAAAGCACCTGTAGAGGCGAAGGCCGACGTTGCAACCAAGAAGACAATTGGAGAATTGATCAGGCGTTATTTTATACATGAATACATATTCTTTTTCAATATTTAAATAGAAAAAAGAAAACTTAACAAAATGCACTTAAATTCCATTTATATGCGCTTAATGGGCACACATTTAATAAACTCACTATGAAAACAGATAAAGCTGTAAAACATGAAGCCAAATCCCATTTCTCTGCAATCTCCTCTCTGTGCAGTAGGACGAGCTTTTCCTCCAAATCGCATTAGTGTTCATACTACAATAAACGTTCATCATATCTGAGGTGCTAGCTTTAGACCTGATCATTTATTTTCATGTTACAGTAAGTGAGCTGAGTGTGTTCGAGGCGCGGGACCCACATGTGTTTCCCTCCCTTGTGTTTGTGTTTCATGGCAGGAGCTGTTCTACAGTACATTAGCGACGATGCAGACATGCCCGGTCGCCGTCTCACCCTTTCCTCCTTTCTTTTCTCATTTTCAGCAATGCCTCGTCCGTTTCATCACCCCTCTCTCTCATCTTCTCCCTCTCTTCCTGCTTTTTTTCCCCTTTTTCTCAGGCTTGCCTAAATTTGCTGTGGAGGACTTGAGCTCCAACACAGAATGCTAACAGAGCCATTTTTTGTGCAGACATGAGCCCTTGACAGAGAAAATTAAATAAGAGAGAAAGGGAGGCAGAGAACAAACAAACATGACCGCTCTATCATGACAAGGGTTGGGATGTGTGTGTTTCTCTGGATTAAGCTGGTCAAAGAGGATCACAGGGGGAAAAGTAGGAAGGCAGCATAAGTCTCAGTCGTAAAGGCACATTTATTCACCGGAGTGAGTTCAAAAATTCTCTCATAAAATGAAAGGAAAAGTGTTTAGCAAATATCCAGGGAGGTAAACATGTTTCCCCTCCTCAGTGAGTAAGGGTATGCCTACCACCTACGCTCAATATTTTGTGTTTGCCCTCTGCTATAGAAAACTTTTGCGGCACTAAACTATTTAGGTGATTTTTTTTTTTCCAACCTGAAACAGTCTGAATTTACAATCCCACCCACACTGTCAGTGTAACATGTTTAAGTAGGAATACCAGGATGCTTTCAGGGACCAACATCCACATCCTTTCTTCTACCCACAAAAAAACAAACAAACGTGTGAAACGTCAAGATTGTTGTTAGCGCCTAACTCATCTAATTGTCACCAACCTGGCAGAAATACTCATCACACCTACCGTCTAAAAGGGCCCATGCTTCGCATTAACAGCAGGGATGCAAGTGATCTGAAATTTAAAGGTGCAAAAACAACCCTGATGATACGCTCTGTCACCGATCACATTCCGGTTTTCTCACTTCCAGAGGAAAAAAAGGAGTGAAATGCATTACAAGCGACGTGTCAAACGCATGATGTTGTTTAGTGAGCGCAGAGCTAAGGTCGCTCTCTGATGGGAGTTTAGTGAGGCTCCAGAGAAACAGATATAGAATAGGTAACATTGCTAAGATGGTGTCTTCATTTTGACACTACTTGAGGTTTATAGTTATATACATGTTAAAGTAGAGGACTGTTATTTCTATTAAAATGACCTCAGTCCCATTTATTAAAGAACTGAACTCTGTGAATATGGCATTACATTTCACTGCAGAATGCTTTGACATATGGAGAAGGTAATAGCTATACATAAAACATATCTGGTAGAGTTAAATCAGGCCCATATACTCCTGCCACACTATGCTGGGCAGCATTTATGATATGTCTATGATATGTTTGTTTTCTGCCTCTTTTCCACTTCGGAAACAGTAGAAAACAGCAATAGTTTCCTCTCTGGTACCATGCTAATGCCCATTTGTTTGCTTTATTTGCACTTCATTAACATCACCAGGCTGCGTCTATCGCAAATTCCACAAAAAAACAACAACAAAAAAAACACTAAAATGCCATAATTTAGGCTAATAGGAAAGAGTTCTATATTCATCATTAGTGTTTCGTCAATGCCATTTTTTGGCCACGATGCAGAAACCCGATACCTGGCTATGCAGTATTGGCCGATACCATCTGTTTGAAATTGATGTGTGTTTCTATAGATATATATATACAGTATATATATATATATATATATATATATATATATATATATATATATATAAAGGACTTAGAACAACATGCATGAGAGGTAAAGCTGTGCATTGTATCAAATCTGACTCTTAATTTTAAAAGTGAAATCCCAAAAAAGTAAAGATCTTCTGGGAGATTCTATTAAGTAAATGATTACAAATAAAATATTAATGCTTTAAGAAATATGTCACAAAAAATTGTCCAGACCCCCAGATTTTATCAGAATGAGATCCAAGATTCTTTCAGGTTGTCTCACCCTTCAACCAGAGTCCTGTTCGCTAGGCGAATGCAGTGCTCCCAGAGAACGTTGGACACAGGCAAAGGAATACGCACATGTCTGGAAACATCACCCAGCCGCTTGTTAAATTGCTCAAACTCCTAAGAGGACAGAGAAGATAGCATATGAGAACAGAACAGAACAAAAAATAAATGAATAAATAAGTAGTATTTTTCATCAGGCAGTCTGGAGTTCCACACAGAGACATAAATTCTATTGAAAGATAATTATTTTTTCTGACACATTCCACATCAGGTTAGTAAAATATTATTAAACATTCACTCAAAAAGTGACTTCATCGCTAACCGCAGAAAGCATTTGGGGTTTTTTAACGGATGGTTCAACTAACGCACAGCATTTATCTGCAAGGCTGCCTTATTTGTACCTTTTGGTTAATAAAATTAACCAAAGCCGGAAGCTTTATCACCTACTAAATGCAAGCTATTTTAAAAAAAAAATTAACCTTATTTTGATAAATATATTCTGAAAAACTAACTTTTAGAAAGATACTAGAACCGTATTCTAACCAATCTACTATGCTAATCTGGGCTGTCAGATTAGCAGTCTTAAGGTACAAAGATGTTGCCGTGTCCCACTCCCACATGTTGCTGCACATTGGTAGTCAGCTGGCTGAAAAACTCCTAGCATTTGCCTCAAAATTTGTTACGTTTACATTTTTCAGCAATGTCAATCAGTCATTGAGGTTAAAGGAACCCGCCCATCACTCTAATAAAGGCAATGCTATTTTAAAAGCTAACAAGCTACACTTATATCTGTTTGGCAGCTAACTGCAGATTGGCTACCATGATACATACCTCGACTAAAAGATTTCGAAAATAGGGTTGCCATACTTGTTCTTTTAATACATTTTTTTTGTGTGTAAATGCAATGACAGCACAGTAATCTTACTTGCTCCACAACAATAAATAGAGAGTAGTGAAAAGGTGGGATGTTATAAATCCATTAAAAGAACAAATACATTTATTATCATCACAACGGTGGCCTTTTAAAGTTATCTTAAAGTGTTTTAAATGCACTTCTTAAAAAAAACATTATTTGAGTGAACCTTCATACTCTTATTAGTGCAACACCATATAGACAAGGCCCACTCACCCATAAAAAAGCATGCTGGCTTTTTATGTTTTGGCACAAACTGTCAAGAGAAACTATCCCAGAGGATGATGCAGATTGCAGAATATAAACATGCAAGGTTGTTTTGGTCACAAGAGGCAATAGGCTGCATTATGTGTGTTATGTTTTGATGTTTCTTGGTTTGAAGCCATAAAAAAACCCACCGATGGAGTTTGTCTTATGTACTTGCAGTTCGCTAAAATGTTAAATTATAGATGACAAACACTTGTGACATTACTTTTCTTTTTATAGAAGCAAATGTGGGGGGCATCAAGAAGACGTACAGATAAGATAGATGCTTCTCAGTAAAGGGTGTTTCTACTGGGTGTTTTCTGATGTGTCTTACAGTTTTAATTCAAGTCCTCTTTTTCTTAAATAAGACATGAACCAAGAATTTTTAAACAAACATACATTTTTCACCAAAAGAATTGAATGTCATTCATTCACAAATAGTCTCATAACGACTTCTGGTTTAAGCATTTTGCCACAAAAGTCATTCAGAGCCTTCTGCTTTCCTCTTCCACTTTATATGCAAATCATAGTAGAATGACAGCGATCAACCTGAGTTCATGAATAAAATATGCCCATGTGTTTGTATGCGAGTGCAGTGCAACAAAATGGGGCACACTCTTTTTTCAATCAGTGCACCATAACTCAGCCCGTATGCATTAGGGTTGTCTGGCAGGTTGACAGTGCGTGGTATTAGCACCTTATGGGGGGAAAACTACATGCTGGATGTAATGTACTTCATGTTGCCCATCAGCTGTACTATCCCAACCTGTTTAGGTACTTAAAACAAACCATATGGCAATGTTTCTTTCAGGGATTTTCAAGGATCCTTTTCAAATAAACTAATTTAGTTAAGATTAAAAAGCACTTTATATAGCTTTACATTGTTGGAGGCACAGGGGTTTGGTATCAGTCTTTTATATTATAGGAATGATTAGCATCTGTATAACACAAATAAGCAGCTTCCAGTTTAGTGTATTATTAAATCGAAAGCAAAAATGTCTATTTTTAGAAATCATTATGCCTCACTTTAAGGGACCCCTGAACTCCTTTGAAATAAATGCAAATGAGGCATCCTACTCCCTATTTAACACAGGGTTTATACATGAATGAGTAACTCTTATTTACTGTAATGCTCTTAGAAATAATCTTAATGCCATCAACAAGTACCCATGACTTAAATATATATATATATATATATATATACGCGGCAAAATCCTTCACCATCTTCACCAGGCTGCAGCCATGTCCCAAGTTCCTAATTTTCCCACCCCTTTGGTTCAAATTTGCATTTTTCCCATTCTCTAGCCTTTTCTCCGCCTCAAGCTTCTTTTCCGAAGCCATTTTAAAGCCACGATTATCAAATTCAATGAATTTTTATTCTAATTAAGGCTTTAATTTAAGAAATAATAATTTAATGACCTTTAATGATTTTTGAATGACCCGCGGAAACCCTGTTACATTAAATTTTTTGGAAAGGTGTTCAGCAATATGTGTGTTCAATGACACTTTGTTTCCTTGAAGCTAAAATTCGACAATAGAAGGTGAGAAAGCCCAAAGAGGTCGATTAAGGCAGATGTGAATATCTTAGCTATAGTTGAACAGTGACAAGCTACCAAAAGGGACAGAGGAAGGGACACCATGGGGTGGCCGTGTCTCACTGGAAGGATTAGTTGTTGTAAATGTAAAAAGTAGTGGATTTGACTCCAGTTTAGCTCCTCACCACATGTTGATCAGCATGAGCCTTAACCCTCGGCTGCCAATAGATCTGTGTATCGACATTTAAACTACAACCGTCTGTAAATGCAGCTAAGTGAATGTGACTAAGTTTCTACAAATTGCTGGTCCCCTTGGTGATTATAGCATGAAAATCCACCAAGAGGATCAAATGCAACGTTTGAAAGCAGAGTTTTAATAAATGGGATTGGGATTTGATTTTAGCAATAGTTTTATCATTTTATAGGAAAATCTGATAAAAAGGAAAAAATGGATACTGTACAACTATCGAGTAATTTTTTCTTTTTTAAATTAGATTTAAGAAAACAAATGCGTTCTAAAAGAGGGAGATATTTTTGAAAGTAAAATAAATATATTGGAGAGAACAAATTTTCACACTGATAGCAAAACTTTTTCTTATCTGAGAATGAATAAAAAGTTTTTTTTTTTTTTATATTTTGTAATGAAATTAATAAAAGATAAACTGACTTTTGGAAAATGCTTTCCAGGGGGAAAAAGTTCTCCAATTTCAGGGTTTAGGCATTTTTGACACCCAGAACCCATTCGGTGTGAACACACCATAACAGTTCTTCTCCGATTTCAGTCCTAAGGTGGTAAAGATTAGTGGAAAAAAACAGTCAATAAAGAACTTTTAACATTCAGCTTGACAAATTCATATTTACCCGCAGTTCCAGAGAACCTACATGTGTTATGAAAATGGGGCCAGATTTTAAAAAGGACTTCAGTTCAGTTTGTTTAAAAAAAAGCACCAGACCCAACTCTTTTTTTTTTTTTTTTTTTTTTTAAAGTGGCAAGCCGCCATGGCAGTGAGCTTCCAGCCCCACAAAGATGCTCCCGGAGTAATATCTGAGATTATATTATCAATGGTGTTCATCTTTTTTTTTTTTTTTTTTTTTTTAACAATCCTTTGACTTTAGTATGTGTGTAAAGGAAAAGATTTCCTTAGAAACCCAGTGCCACAAACAGAGTCAGAAAGCTCATCTTTAAAACAAAAGCCATTTATATTGTTTTAATATCTCAGATGCAAAACCTAATCCTACTGCTAGAGTTCTCTCTATGGTTTTATTTAAGCTCGCTTATAGCAAGCAAAATCACAACCTAATCATTTTTTATCCTTAATGATGAAGTTCACAGTGAAAGAGAGACTGTGTTGGTCGTTGCAGCTTCCTCTCTCTCTCCGTGATGACACATGTTCTCCATAACAACTTACACATGCCCAGCAAAGACATCTTTGTAAGAAAGGGCTGTGTAGAGTGCAGCTCAAACTCTTATTTAACAAATGTTATGATATTCAAGGTAAACCACTGTTTTATAAAGCCAGGGCAAAGCTTTATAATTCAATTTCATTTAGACATTATTAACTAGAACCAAAATAAAGAGTATGAGGACCAACATTTTCTTACCAGCTGTATATGAATTCAGGATCTGGATGAACAAGAATTGAACTTCATTTAAGACTGCAGTTGAATGTATTGTCTCGCATATATATTTCAAAACACCAGACATAGCTATGCAGCTCTAAGGTTATGTGCTGTCAGAACATTTTAGCAAGTTTCTTTGCTTACAGTAGACAACTTTGTGTCGCAGCAGCAGTTTTAGGCCGACAAGCAGAAACTTATGTCTGGAAAAAATATCTATATCTGTCAGCAAAATCAGAAAGCAAAGACTGCTGTGTCTTGGGATATCATTAGTTAGATGAGATATATAGGACTTTGGTAAGAAACAATAATATTGTTATAAGACATGCAAAACTAAAAAGGGTGAAGTATTAATCTATGCAATGTTTTATAGAACAAACATGGCACTGACATGTCTAACTATAATAAACTGATTATGACTTATTTAAGGTAGTAAATAACAAAGACCTTGTTCTTAACATCGTTATTGCGTACATGCAAAAGGATTCACTGCTAGATAAAAATCTACAGTATGGTGGGCAAAGACAGCTGATTTTATATAAACAACTACTTTAACATCTTTCACATCATGTCTTTTTTTCCTTTTAATTTGTTTATGCCAAAACAGTAGGTTATTCATACACCTATTATTAGGCAACAAAAATCTATGTCTCAACATGGAAAATGCTCATGCCAAGACCAAGTTTTGGGCCAGTACTGATTTTCAAGTAAATGTAATGCATTGAAGATATCATTTCTCTTCATTTATAGTTAGCTTTTAAGCAGGTTTGGTCACGTGAATCATAAAATCAGCAAAAGAAAAACTTGAACATAAATACGTTGCCAGTAAAAAAGGATCCAGCAGCCCTTCCCTGTCTTCATGTATAGCTTTGTCAATAGTGAAACCCCAGGTAACTCTTCATAGACTACAAGCTTTTAAGACATCATACTTGACATTTGCAGTAACCTTTTCATTTTACAACCAGTGTTACCTTCAGTAGAACATCCACATATACATTGTGCTGTGACATTATCTCCTTGATATCCCATTTAACTCCGGCCATCATCAGCAGCATTTGTTCGTAGTCTATAGCCTTGGCTGCCACTATCCAGTATATTGGTTTACGTAGTTCGCTGGCTGTGGACACGGTCTGTGAGAGGAAAAACATGGAGAAGCAAATGTCTTTTGGATGTTTTGTTGCATTAGATACTGTATAACAAATGTTAAAGGATATAAGCATTACAGTTCTTGGCAGGAGTCATCATTTCTCTGTAAGTTGAAAATATTACTAAGCTATAGAAAGCCACCAACATTTCCCAGAAATCTGGAGATGACATTTACTTTACTTTATGGGAAAGCATCAAATGTCAAGGGGCCATAAAAATGTATAAAACTAGCTAAAAAAAATGCACAATTTTTGTTTAATATCAATTCTGGATAGAAACTACAAATTGTAGAACAACAACAACAAAAAAAAAGCATAAAATGTAAATAAATTAATTTATGTCAGCAACTTTATGATCAACACTGGGCTTTAACCAAAGAACAACTCCCTTTGATTAATTATCATTCAGACTTCATATGATTAAATGTTTTATTCTAATAATTTTTTTATCTTTTTTTGTAATTGCTTCTTTAACAGTTTATGACATTACGAATATATCTGAACCAAGCCCTTAGAAATCTACTATAACATCTATATTAAGTATACAACACATTGTAAAACGATAAAACCCTTTAAGGTAAATCAAACAAAATTAGTTTAACTTGTGAAAGAAGAGTGGCCGCGGTTAATGATGTCGATATTATTTATGATCATTATGGCACCTGTCTTTAGACGGCTATATACAGGAAAGCTGAATTTTCCAATACCTGAGAATAAAACTGTTGAAGGAACGGTTTCTTGGCTGCAGGCATCATTGTGTCCAAGTGGGATTGCAGGGACTCAAACTGCTCAGCCAAAAACACACTGAAGGAAGACAAAGGTATCATAAATCAGCAAAGTGATGAAATAATGCATTCTGAATAAGGTTCTCATGGGGCAGATAGTGTGAGATCATGACTTTAGTCTTTTAAATTTAACAGACACAGATCCATTACTACAACTGACATTCATTACATTTGTCCGAAATCCCTTCGGGGATGATGATTCAAATAGACATAATAAACATAAAGCATCATTGAGGATTATCAAATCTTTTCATTCTGTTTTGTGGGTACAACCAAACCTTTCAGGGATGTTTCCTAAAAGTTTTTCTGACCGCTTTACTTTCTAGTTCTCAGAAACTGAATTCAGTTTTTCATCTGCGTAACTTTGTGAATAACAGTGCTGTGAGAAAGTACAGTGGGTCAAAGAAAAATGTAGTCATCCACTGATTGAGCAAGTTTTTCTACTTAGAATGATAAGAGAGGTCTGCAATTTTCATCATAAAACTATGAGAGAAGAATATATGAAAAAAACCTCAAACAGACTCCAATCTCAACCAAGACCGACGAGCTGTTGAAGGACACCAGGAAGAAACTTGAAAACTAGACTGGAAGGAGGTCCATGTGTTATTTTTTTTTATATCAGACCTCTATGAAGTGATAAAAAGATGCATTGTTAAAACTGTTAGATCTAAATGTAAAATACAAAAGTATATATAATATTTTAACCTGGAGACACTCGCAGAGAGAAAAAAGTTTGTAGAAAAGTTTTGTTGAAATGAATGAAATGAGTTCTTTGCTGCTCAGGCCCCGGCTGAAGACTTTGATGCTGTGAATCAACAATCACTTGCAGTGGGGGAGGAAATAGGGCGGAGGTGGGTAAAACTTATTTAAATCATTTAAAAAAGTATATATTTTTTATTTTTATTTTTTTTTATTTATTGTGGAAGAAAAGCATAATAGTAATTTACAAATAGTATAGAATCTGTTCCATGTTTTTGTCTTTTTTTTTTTTGGTTTTTTTACATACAGTACGCAATATCTTTCATTTGTAGAGTACAAAGAAATAACTCGCACATATACACACACACAAAAAAAAAATATTTATATATATA